ATCTGAAGTGTACCTGGCGTATAAGACGACCCCCCACTTGGAGGCATATTTTTCAGGGCCAAAAAATCGTCTTATACACCGGCAAATACGGTACTTAAAACTGGTCATGAGTAGGGCTGTCTTGAAAACTTCTAATAGCGGGGAATGATTTATTCTCTTTATTCGTGTAGCTTTCTTCTTTGTTAGTCCTTTTGCAAGTTTTTTTTTTTTTCAATATAATTGGTTCATCTTAGCCTGGCTGCTTTTCTTACATGGTTTGGGGCATTTTTATTTGCACTGATGTCTTTATGCGTTGTTTAAGATTAATTTCTAATTACAGTCTATTCGAGATACTCCAGCCAAAAATGCACAAAAATCAAACCAGAATGGAAAAGACTCAAAACCATCAACACCAAGATCAAAAGTAAGTGGCAACATACACATAAATACTGGTTTCATTGAACTAGTTAGAAAAGTTGAAGTTTCTACTATGGAAGAATGCAGTCTATCTGAAATATAACAGGCCTTTGGAGAATACCTGGAATTGGTGTCTTTAAAGAACTAAAATGTGCTTGTTGATGGTCATTTTCATATTTATAGCTGCTGGCTTTCTAGTGAGGGAGAAAGTCAACAAATACTTTTACTATGATATAAACAGGTGTCTGCTGTAAACAATCTTGATGCTTGTGTGAAAGGAGTATTTCTTGCATAGTGCAGAGTTTCTCAACTCTGGCTGTGAATAAGTAAGGAGATTAAAAGAACCACAATACCTGGACTTGGAGGTTATCATTTAAATGCTCTGGGTTGGGCCCAGGCTTCAAGCTGCATTGATTTTCTTTCTTCATTCTTATGTGCCTTCTGGCTTTGTTTTTGATGGCATCCTGGTGTTGAATATAAAGGCAGGCTCAAACTATTCGTATATTTTTCTTAAGAAATGACTAGAAGAACAAAATAATTGTTCAGACATGAATTTATTTATAATAGCAGCTCAGCTCTGGTGTATGTTTGGTGTCTATCTGTTGTATATTCTTACAAGGGAAGATTGTAAGAATAACTTAGAAAAGCTAAGTAGAGTTGGTCTGAATTAAGAGCTGTATCTTACAACCTTTTGAAATTTAACTTTTTCCCCAGGGTCAAGAATCGTTCAAAAAACAGGAAAAAACTCCTAAAACACCGAAAGGGCCTAGTTCTGTAGAAGACATTAAAGCAAAAATGCAAGCAAGTATAGAAAAAGNTAGCTGTAGAAGAAGATGCAGAGTCAGAAGATGACGAGGAGGAGGACGTGAAACTCCTGAGTATATCTGGAAAGCGTTCTGCCCCTGGAAGTGGCAGCAAAGTTCCACAGAAAAAAGTAAAACTTTCTGCTGATGAAGATGACGACGACGATGATGATGAGGATGATGATGAAGAGTAAGTAGTATGTGCTTAGAAACATGACATAGTTGTATGGGGGGAGTTTTATGAAAATCATTTGCCAAAATCATCCTGTGGAACTAAGTAATAGCTTTAAAGCAACGGTAAATACTGATTTTCAGTTCGAGCTGAATGAGCTTAGTTAAAGGACATTATTGGAACTGTGAGCCATTAAAATGCTGAATAGCACATTGCAAATTTTCAGATGGATAGAGTATGTAGCATTTCCTAAATGTGTTTGACCAGGTGCCTTTTTCCTGACTGAGGAAGATGATCGTGGACACATTACTGTATGCTAAGAAGTCTGATATATTTTATGATCAGTGGGTTGGGTGGAAAGAGAATCTAAAGAGCTCTAGCTACATTCACTTTGTAAGTTGTCGCTTAAGGAATTTTTTTTTTTTCCCCACAAAGGATTTTGGTCCCGTCATTCTCTGGTTCTTGTTAAGAAAATAAGATTCTAAAAGGGAATAGGATTTTCATGGAACATTTAAAATCTGGTTGGAAACAAGATTTAATGTGTTTATTAAACTAGGTCAGGCTATGGTAAATATTTAAATGCACACCAGAATAAAATGCTATTCATAATTGGTCTTTATGCGACAGTATCAATAACTTATCTAATACATTGAATTTTAATTGCCTGTCAACTTTGTCCCTGAGTTCCCAGGTTGGTCCATATATAGTTATTGAAAATATTCAAATCTAAGAAAGACTGAGAGATCATGCACTGATTAATGATCATATCTGGAAGTTAGGTTTTCGGTAACCTCAACTGGCCAAAGTGGTAGTTCTTTAAAAAGACCTTTGAGCGTGACAATAAAGGCAGAAAGTAGGAAAAGGCTGAAAGAGTTATGCTTAAAAAATGCGTGTTAAACTTACTAACTCAGTATACTTCATGTTTGATTTTTTTTATTACTTTAAGAATATTTGCCATTAGTAAGAATTTAAAAAATAGATGCCAAGAAAGGAATGGGAAATGGGCTTAGGACAGAAATGAGAATCTGGATGGTATATGACGCTTAATTAGGCTTGAGTTTAATCTTGGGTGATTTCATGTTAACCTTTGCATAGGTTTATAAGTGAATGTTTAATAGCACAGAGTCACTGAGACTTTGGAGACCAGTCCTTTCTGCGAAGGCTTTAGAGTAGGACCTGATTGGTATCTTGATCCTGCTTGGGCTTTGGAAGATTTCCTGTTTTTAAAATGGGGATAATTTCTAATGTAACCACAATGCAAGATAGTTATAATGAAAGAACAAGATAGTGGTCTTGTCTCCCATGTTCTTAAGTTAGGTAGGTAGTGAGTGAAGAATGAAAGGTATAGATGCTATTAAGGTTTAAATTAGTAAGTTTTCATTTAAGAGAAGAAAGGGTAGTCGCATATATGCCTAGGTAGGGACATTTATTTAGTTAATGGATGCCTTAAGGGTAACAAGTCTTAGAAAAATTCCACAGAAAAATTCCACTGGTTAGGTGGCAGTGAAAACGTAAAGAGGTGCAGGTGGCTCAAGGTTTGTAAGTTGATCAAGTTATGTGGAATTCTAAGCCTAGCCTCAGAAGACTTGGAACCCACAGGATAAAAGGTTGATGGATTCTGTTTTGGGACTGGAAAGAGTATGGTGTGAGGTTGGTTAATTTCCTGTTGATGTAAGCAAGGCCATTTAAATTTTGTACTTTAAAATTTATAATATTAATATTCTATGTTGCTCTCTCCGTAAAAAACCCTTTTCCCCTACGTTATTAGTGAATATACTAATAAACCTTATGATAGTGGTTTTATAGAAATCACTGTCATCTTGTTTCTAGTATGGAGGGGCACATGCAGAGATTGGGTTGTAAGGCCAAAATTGACAAAATCACTGTTAAAAATCACTTAAAGGATTATTATTTATATATGGTTTTATGTAAACTACATCCTTGCTCTAGTTAACACAGTAAATTTTACTCCAGTGTTGAAAAGAGGAGTGTATTTTTGGTTGCACTTTAATGAAATTGCTCCTGTTTTATACACAGGCTATGTTGTATGGAAAAGAAAAATTTGGCCAGTATATAGGTTTTTAAAGTAATTAAAGTGTGAACCAGATTTCCCTATATATACATGGAATCCTATAGTATGGGCTCTTTTGTGACTGGTTTCTTTAACTTTACACAATGTTTTTAAGATTCATCCATGTTGTAGCATGTACCAGTACTTTGTATTGCGTTGTAAGAAAATTTTTATATATTTTGGAAACAGATAAGATTTGCAAATATCTTCTCCCATTCTGTGGGTTGTCTTTTCCATTCTTTTGATGGTGTCCTTTGAATTTTCATGAAGTCAGTCCTTTTATTGCTTATACTTTTGGTGTCAAACCTAAGAAACCATTGCCAAATCTTGTAAAAGTTTTATAGTTTCAGCTCTTACATTTAGATCTTTGATCCATTTTGAATTTCTGTATATGGTGTGAGATAGAGGGCCAGTTTTATTCCTTTGCATGTAGATATCGAGTTGTCCCACCATCATTTGTTAAAAGACTTATTTCCACTTTGAATGGTCTTGGCACTCGTGTTGAAAATAATTACCATAAATATGTGGATTTATTTCTGGACTCTTCAGTTCCAGTCTATTGACGTGTCTATCCTTAAACCAGTAAAAACACTTGATTTCTGTTGCTTTGTAGTTTTTTATAGATTCCTGTTCAGAACCCACTAAGTGTGGATCCTCCAACTTTGTTCCTATTCAAGGTCTTTTTTGGTTACTTTGGGTTTCTTGAATTTCCATATTAATTTGAGGATTGATTTCTACAGAGAAGCCAGCTGGGGATTCTTTTAAGGATTGCATTGAATCTGTAGTTTAAAATTTGGAGAGAGTTGCCACCTTAATATATCTGAACATGGAATGTTTTTTATTTTTAAGTTCAACTACCCCATCCCCAATTTTTTTTCCATTTTTTTCAGCTGGAAAATACATAACATTTAACATTTTAGTCATTTTTTAAATGTACAATTCAGTAGTATTAACCATATTTACATTGTTGTGTAACAAATGACAAACTCATCTAGTAATACTGAAAAATACACACATTGAACAGAAACTCCCCATTTTCACTTCTCCCCAGTTTCTGGCAACCACCAATCTACTTTTGGTTTCTATAAAGAGTTTGATTACTCTAGGTATATAAGTTGAATCATACAGTATTTGTATTTTTGTAACTGCCTTGTTTCACTTAGCATATGTTCTCAAGGTTCATTCATGTGCAGCATGTGACAGGATTTCTTTAAGATTGAGTGTTCCATTATATGTATGTAATTTTCTTTAGCCATTTAACTGTTGATGGATTTTGGGTTGCCTTCCACTTGGCAATTGTGAATAATGGTGCAGTGGACGTGAATGTGCAATACCTCTTCAAGACCCTTTGAGTGCATTGAATCGGTAATAATGGCTTTTTTCATTTGTAGTGATGATGATGATGAGTTTGATGATGAGGAAGCTGAAGAAAAAGCTCCTATAAAGAAAGTAAGTTGGATACACAATGCTTACAAGATTGTCAGAAATAACAAATGGTGGGAATTTTTTAGTGCTATTCACTTGTTTTGTATTTAACAAAAACTGGTTTGGGGAGGAAATGATGTGATCGCATACCGTATTTGCCGGCGTATAAGACGACTGGGCGTATAAGACGACCCCCTAACATTTCCACTCAAAATAGAGTTTGTTATATACTTGCCGTATAAGACTACCCCCTCTTCCGCACACCTTCCACACACCAAATAAAAGGTAAAACAATATCAGATTTGATTTGGCCCACTGAAGTGCAAAC